AAAGGGATCGCGCGATTAATGAGCTCCGCGCGCAGACCCGGCTAATCGAATTGCACCTACATAAGTGACAGCACTTAAAAATCACGCTTCAGCGAGCGAGACAACTTTTTTTTTCCTTTCTTCTTCGCGCTCGTAACTAAGTGACACGTGCTTAGCATACTTCAGACCTGGCATCCTTCGACGGATTTTTATACCTTTAAACGTCTTGGTCTCTTCTCTCGGAGCGCTCTCTTCGTGATTTCTAGGTCGGATGAAGATTCCGATAAAGGCTCGAGTGAGAAAACGACCGTCTTATAAAATAGCTCCCCTTATAAAATAGCTCGTTACATCTAATAATGATACATCATATCAGCGAAATATATCTATAGGCCGCCATGTCCATCACAAAGTGCGGCTGACGTGAATTTCTAGAGAAAATCGAATAAATATACTGAGAAAAACAATATCTAGAAAATGCACGATATTTATTCGGTGGATAACAACAACATACTTACACATACTAATATAAAGTATTTTTCAAGTGAGAAAAATGTACATTTTCTTAAAACTTTAGCTCCTCGCGAAAACAATTGTTTATTTTGTTTAAATGAAAGAAAGTTCTTGGTAAGTTTAAGTAAAGTAATAATTTCAGTAAGTATGATTTCAGTAAATATGTTACGAGTATCCACTCTTTTAAAGTGAATCAATAAAGTTGTTTCTGACTGAATCAGTAAAAGGAGTATTCTGCCGAATATTCTCCGATTTTCAGTGGAAACACTGTCACTTTACTGCTCCATCTTACATCTCACTGGTTCTGACCAGTGGAAGCGAGATTTCACTGCAACTGTAGTGACATGAATTCGTTATACGCTAAGTCAACTTTCTGCATTTCTGACGATGGAATGAACGACTTTTATGCGATTTGCGTGCAATGATACCGCGTATGTTTGCAAACTGCATCAATAATAGGAACAATCTTTACTATTAACTGATTATTATTTTTTACATATTTTTTCTTTCATGATTATAATATGAGGAAGCAATGAAAGTTGCGCCTGTCTCAATCAACTTGACTTTAATTAACGACGCATACGGAAGAAAAGGTCAATTACACCTTTACCGTTAATTAGGCCTAGGATGGCCTAATTAATGCTCATTTCCCCAGGCTGATGACTGGCCGGTGACAGAACGCGCTGTCATTGGCCTTAGAGGCGTCAGTGGTCATCATATGAAGCCGCGTCACTTTCCACACGGGACTGCTAATAAATTACATCCGTATCTCGCTCCCACCGGTCGATCTCGAGCGAGTTAACTCGTCGCTTTGGTGCGCGAGCGCTCACTGCCGTGCGCCAGTGCGATGCACTTCGACCCTGCACCCGTCGATGCACTTTCGGCACGGATCAAGCCACTTAGAGCGCTGCACTTCAGGTTATCGCCGAAACCGAAAAGTTTGCACAGCCTGCGTATGCAATTTTGAGAAGTAAACGCGGACCTGATTCTTGGAATGAAAATTCCGTCGCGAACTAAGAGTATCCTGAAAAGCTATCCGATTCCGATCTATGTTATCAATGCACTTTTCGCCACTTCTCCGGAAGTGTAAAAGCTCTCGAATAAAAATCGGTCATTTGGTTACGCGCATATCGAGCATTTCTGAAGGAGTCGCGAGACTTCGTCGAAACGTCGATAATCTCCTCGGTTTAGAGGATGAGTCATTCATTCAGTCATTCTTACTTGAAAAATAACTGAAAGTGGTGGATGGCCACTTAGAGACAAATACTCTGGTTGAACATGGTACAACAATTTAGGCAATATATAGTAGAATAAACACATAAAAAATCCTACTAATTTCTTTGCGAGAGCCTAATAATCATAACGAGAATGGATCCTAACAATTCTATTCATACCGCATCATCATCCCGAATAAAAAATTTGATCCCTACTGCCTGTTGATCCTAACATTCCACTTAATATTCTGATATTCCTACTTTAATGCTACTCAAAAGCCTATATCAATCTTTTGATTCTATTGTGCCTTTCAACTTTGTCGAGAAATCCTCTTTAGAACTCACAAGTGGCAATTTGTGCGTTTTCTGCTATTTGAAATAACACTTCAGTTTCCATGTATATCATAAGTATACATACTGATCCTTCCGAATATACAGATACTAGAAAGTTCAGATCGAAAATTCAAGACTAAAATTTCGATTCGGGATTTTACGTCCAGCTTTTCTGTGAAACGTATGACTACTAGATATATTAATAATTATGCACCAGTACAGATATTTATATGAGTATTTTTTAATCCGCCCCATACTCTCATAAAAATTCATCACTTCAGAAAAGCTTCTCGAACACCAATGATTTGCGGCAAGTAAGGTGTCGAACGATAGGCGTGCACTTAACACATGCCCTCAAATTCGTGCGCGCGCGCGCTCGAGGGAGAGAGAGGGGCGGAGGATACACGTTTATTTTTATACGCGCGATATCTCGATGCGCGAAGTTCCTCGAGTATAAATAGGCCAAGATGCACTCTCTCGCGGCGCGTAATATTCGGTCGAAGCTTTAATGCGCATACATCAACCTGATTATTCATGCCACCCGTTAATGTATCGTTATCAACTTTCCGGCATAAAGCCGTAAGCCTTGAGCCGTTTATCCCCCACGTCTGCGGCAAAATCGTTTCCGGGTTCGCTCCTAAAATTCTACCCCCGCGATAACCGCACTAATTATGTTAATTGCAAAATGCGGCGAGTGAGATTCCCCAAAATAAACCCAACTCCATGTGCAACAGACTTCCCACTTCAAATACTGATTAGTTGTAAATTGTACACATACGATACAATTATAAGGAATTGTTATAACTATATATCATGAATTGATAACTCAAGTTAGTAACTTAAGATGTGCGCATGAGAATCCATTAGAATTCGCTCCACTTAGTTAGAATTATTATATCGATAATACATTTATAAGGCTTGAAACGCCCTCGAGAAATGCCTATCAAAGGAGTCTCTGAAGGACAAAGCGCGAGATAATGTAACGCATTAATCCTCCGCCGTGAATTCAGATTTTGGCTCGATCAGATCTGTGAGGGATTTTAAAGGATTTTCTCTTCGATAAAACACGGCGGCGTTCTGAAACATCATTGACAGGCGAGAGCCGGCCGAAGCAGCAATTTGTTCAGGGATCGGTATTGTCACGAGGTGGAGAACAGACTGTCGATATCCGGTATACGTCAGTTAATCCGGCCGATAGTCCCGGTAAATAAATAGCGGTCGGTCAAAGGGAGGGAGAGTAAACGGCACTTTCGTAGCCGCTTCTTCCGAAAATCCATTCGCCGCGAGAAATCGCGCGTCCGATCTTACGTTTATCGATGTCCCCGAAAGTCTACGGACCGACAGCCCGTCTTTTGTTTGTCATAGGGAGAGGAAACGCGCGCGCTTTGTTCCTGAGATCCTGCCCGCAATCAACGCGCAAACAGCGCGCGCACTAACGGCGTTATCGCTGGATTTCTGACGATAAAGGGAACAGACGAATCACCCCCGATCTTTGATAATTAAAAAGGATCGGAGGTTTGAGGCGCGGGACGATGGGCGTCCCGGAAACATTAATTTAAGTCGATTTAAGGAAACTACAGGCTGAGATTTTTGGCGGCAGCTTGAAGACCCCGGGTTCCCTTTGAATACTCGAACTCGTCGTCGTCCAATTTTAACGAGATAAACGGCAGTCGTTTCTCCTGATCTCGATTTCCCAGCGCGGCGTCAGTTGTTTCATTAGTTAGACAGGGATTCGTTAGCAATTTCTGTTTTTGACTTTAAATTAATCGTTCTCTCAAACAACGTGAAACTTTTTATCCTAGATATTCGAGACGATAAGTCTTTAAATATTTCGATTCTTCATGCGAAAAATTTGACGTCTTTCAAATGCTTTCCCAAACGGAGTGATCAACGTCGAGCTTGTGAATGATACCGCAACTTTCTATTGTGCCTTTCAACTTTGCCGAGAAATCCTCTTTAGAACTCACAAGTGGCAATTTGTGCGTTTTCTGCTATTTGAAGTAACACTTCAGTTTCCATGTATATCATAAGTATACATACTGATCCTTCCGAAAGAAGTTTATTTCAAATCCTCATGAAATTCCTACGCGGAAGCACTGATGAATAAAAAGAACGTAGGAGCGCTCCGCGATCAGCTGATGAGCCCACACGATCAGCTGACGCGTCAGTTGATCGTTCCAGCTGACCCGGTCAACTGACCACGTGCACCAAAATTTCAAAGCGTTTGCTGAAATTTTGCGAAAGATTTGAACCCATCAATTTGAAAAAAAAATCTCTGTCGCGCGCATTATAACAATTAATCGCATGCAAATCAATCTAACTTCATAAAATGCGTCCAAAGTTCTGACCTTAATTTCAATGACAGATTTTCGTTAATTAAAATTCCTCTTACAATCCGACGTTAAATTATACAGCGACAATTCGAAGACGTTATAAATTATACAAAGCCTAGAAAAAAAAATTCAAAAATTACAACAATGTCTGTGTAAAAAGCTCTTTAATCCCTATATAGTTTTAATCAGATTGTGAATCAATTAATCGTTTCAATTCTAAAGTATGTAATTTAAAATTCAAGCACCATAAACACAAAATTTCATATTCTGAAGAAACTAATAAATTTTAAATTCGTTTTAATTAGAACTAAAATAAATAGAGCTAAAATGAAATTTACAATTCAATTCCTATATATTTTTAACTAAATTAATTGATTAATCGTTCCACTTCTTCACATTCTAAAGTGTGTGATTTAAAATTCAACGATCATAAAGACTGAATTCTATCCTGAAGAAACTCCTCAGCAGACTTCAAATCCTTTTCAATTAAAGCTAAATTAAAATTTACGATTCAGATTGAAGAATCTGACTAGTTGATAGTTTCAAAGTTTGCGTCTAGTGTTTCTAAATTCAGAATATAAGGTATGAGTTCGGGGATTGTGTGGGACTGAAAACCCGATGTTTTCCTCAGATCATTATCAGGAGCACCTCGGGTGGATGCAAGGACCTCGCTCGAGTGTGCTATTGATCGTAACTGGAGGTTCTAATACCGAGAACCCTTTCGAGGTTCGTCATGCTGGTCTTAGAAGGTAACCTGACATCCTGGGGTGGCAACTGGACGACGATGTTGCACCAGGTGTCCTGCAATGACACACTTCTGGGCTGCGCCGAGATGTGCGACATCGGTTCCAGCGGATTCGACCACCTTTGCATGGTCGAGAAGGGAACCTTCGCCTCTTCGATGACGCTCTTTTGTACACCTTGCGACTACACGACTTGCAACGTCAACGTGTCGTTGCTCCTCAACGGCCTCGAAAGCATCGAGGGTATCTTCCTATCCAGGATACCGACGAGGGATTGTAACGCCACGTCGTTCGCCGAACAAGTGAGCTATTCAACGAACGAAGAGTTGAAGTATAGAAGTTCAAAAGAGTCAGGAGTCGGAAGTTTAACTCGCGGGGATTTGAGAATAAAGTCCACGAGGCGCACGAATGTCTTGGAGTTTCGAATACTTGGGGAAACAAAAAATTAAGAAGAACCCGAGATCAAATAGAAACGTTTACATCCTGAAAATTCCATTTTTCGCAACTTTGAACTTTTCCAAAGAACACGAAAATCTAGACATATATTTTTTCAAATCTAACACAAAGACCTAAAATGTCAAATATTCCAAAGCTTCGAAATTTTAAATCATCAGTGCTCGAAAATTTAAATACTTTTTTTCATTTTAACACCAAAGTCTCTAGCATTTTTTTAATATTAACCGACGTCAAAAGTAGTTAAAATTCAGCCTTGAAATACTTGTTTCCAATTTTGACGAGCTTCTCGAAACGACAGGGGTTGCTGGAATCATCATCTAGAAAACCTCAGAGATCATCCCCCAAGACATGATTCAAAGATTTTCACCCCGCGAAAGTGATATATCTCAAGCGAAGGTTGACATTTAAGAATTGTTGCCTTCTGTTTCGACATCTCGGAGATTCCGACCATTCGTCTCTAACGCCTACAAATAATCGGCTATTGTGTAGATTTTGGAGTGTACCCCGGCCGGCGGCATCGCGGAAGACCTGGCCGTGTCCTGCTCGCACCGATCCAGACTTGATGGCGCGGGCACCAAGGCTCGTCGATTCGATTGGAGCTTCCTGTTCGCGGCGGTATTCATAGCCGCCGGTGGACTAGGAAATATATTGGTTTGTCTTGCCGTGGTATTGGACAGGAGGCTCCATAACGTGACGAACTACTTCTTGCTGTCGCTGGCAGTAGCTGACCTCCTCGTGAGCCTCTTCGTCATGCCACTGGGTGCCATACAGGGATTTCTAGGTGAGTGCGAGCCCTCCCTGCGCGAATTCTACTAACTTAACACCTCGAGCTTTTCTCTCTCCAAGAGAACGTTACGTGACTATAAAACGAGCCTTGTAAATCAGCGCTTGCAAGGAAAATATTTCATGATAAAAATTATCATAATTTTGTAACTGAGAAGCAGACCGACATTCTGCACTTATCTTCTCATATATATCATATGTGTTATTTATATTTTATAAACTAAAATATGTTGTTAAAAATTCGCTATGATTCTAGCAAAAATTTATTATGTTTTTTAACAAGACAAACTTTACCAACAATCTGTTCCTAATTTGCACTACTCACAAATAAACCTACTCAAAACGTACACTCCGATTTCTTTCTAATTTGGTACAAATGTAGAAGACCAAAAAATATTTAGGTCATATTTTTTTCATTTTGGCACACTTTGAGTTTTACGGGCAGTTTATAGCTTTTTAATGTCCTCCTTCCTATCATCAATAAGTACAATAAAAATGGATAAGAAATAAAATTGAATATAAAATATAGTTAAATAATTTTAACAAAATTGGCATAGCTGAGACATGGATCATTCTAAATTTCTTTAGCTGAGATTCCAATCAAAATATTTTAAATCTGTGTTAAATTAGTCAAAAATCGTTCAAATCTCAGCCAAATCGAGAAGTTATCTGTATAAATAATTTTTTCAAACTTTTTACTTGTTTTGTTTAAACATTTTATTTATACAAATAATTTTACACATTTGACTTCATATTCATAATCAGCAAACCAAAAACGCCATTAAAAAACTATAAACGTGAAACTCAAAGTGGGCTAAAATGAAAAAATATGACCTAAATATTTTTTGTAAGACATTTGTGCTAGATTAGAAAGAAATCGGAGTGTACCTTTTGGATAGATTTACTTGTGAGACACGAACCATTCTAAATTTCTTTAGTCAAAATTCCAACCAAAATATTTCAAATTTGTACTAAATTAGTCAAAATAGTTCGAATCTCGACCAAACCGAGAAATTATTTGTATAAATAATTTTCTTCAACTTTCTACATGTTTTATTTAAACATTTTATTATTTATACAAGTAATTTTATGCATTTCACTTCATATTCATAATTAGCAAACCAAAAACGCCTATTTTATATTCAATTTTATTTGTTTCTTATTGTACTTGTTGATGATAGAATGAAAGCATTAAAAAGCTATATAAACTGCCCGTGAAACTCAAAGTGGGTCAAAATAAAAAAATATGACCTAAATTTTTATACTTCTACATTTGTGCCAAATTAGAAAAAAAATCGGTGTGTACCTTTTGAGTAGGTTTACTTGTAAATGAAAAAAAATATCTAAAAAGTAATAAATATTTATTCGACGGGAATAATAATAACATATTTATTAAAATCTTTGTAACTTAAATTCTTTTAATTTAAATTCTTTCATTTAAATAAAATAAACAAATTGCTTTTATGAGAAGCTAAGATTTTAAGAAAATGTATAATTATTTTTAATATTTTACAAATAAATATATTATTAGTACACCTATCGAATATTTTTTATTTTATAGATATTTTTTCTTTCAGTGTAGGAACAAAATAAATTTGGAAAAAATTTATGTGTGAAAAAAACTTTAGTATGTGTGTGTGTGTGTGTGTGTGTGTGTGTGTGTGCCATTTCTCTATTTTCACCTCTGCGAAAAAGGATGTTTTAGGAGAGAAATATGTTCTTTTACATCTAAATTGAATAAATCTAGATTGAAAAATAATTTTCTTAAAGTCCCACATTAAAAAAATCAAAGATACATATTGACTTTTTTTACAAGAAATAGTTTTGTAAACATGAATCGGTTCTTTCTGATATTCCACGCATAAAGTATAAGACGTCAAAAGGAGTGAATAATATAGTAGCTTGAAAGAATAAGAAGAATAAGAAATGTGAGAACCAAAATCTCACGAAACTTAGAGAATCAATAGACTGATGTAGTTTCAACATCGAGCGATTCGAGCGTTCCTCCGCTCTTACATTTCAAGACGGCAAATAGAAACGGAAGGTCAAACAGAACGAGACGAAATGGCAAAAGGCGGGAATTTCGTCGCGAAAGAATCGCAAGACTGCTGCGCAGGGGGACGCGAATAATGGATGCTCGGGTAAAACGGTTACGTTTCTGATGGCGTACGCGGAGCTGGAAGGTCCTGCGTGGCGACGCGCACGATCGGATTACGCTCGTAATGTAATCCGCGGGATTAAGACGCCGTGGAACAAGCGGAACAAGTGTAGAAACGGGAGACGATTCACGTGGAAGGTCGTCGTGTCCGTTTGCGCGCCTTCTCCTGTCACGCGCCGGTTACTGCGAGATTTCGCATTCATAGAAGTCACTTCTGGCGTTTAAGTCACGCTCTACTCGCGACAGAATACGTCACGGTGAAATATGAGATGTCCCGTGAAGCGTTCACTTTTCGATTAGGTCGCCTTTTCCGCGCGCGATGAGGAGTGCTGTCTTGAATGTCATGGGCGAAAAACAATATTAATATCTTGTTTTGGCAACCATATTGAGGCAAGTGATATCCTTAGTGTTTTCTTCATGTGACAACGAAATAAATGGCTTCCATGCCTTGCGTGCAAAGGTGACACTGTATGTGTTCGCAGGATACATCAGTAACGGGAACAGTCGCCACTGCTGATTGATTCTTTCAGCGAGATTTTACTGATTGCATTGCTACACTTATAACTGAATCGGCAGTGATAAGTGTAGCATTTCAGCAGACAATATATCGACTGTATTCGAAAGAATACACCGCGCAATTTTGGATCAACTTTTTCACGACGCGCGTTGTCTCGGGTCTATCGTGGATGTTGATGATTCCGCTCTGTATATCAGTTTAAAAGTTCGAGGACATATACTCGAGGCGTTGTCGTGTGATGGATAGGCGTAATCGAAGGTGACAGTAATCGTGGGCTGTCATCGGACTGATGTAGATTGGACACTCGAAAGTACTTAATAGCGATACGGCGTGCTTCGTTGCTTGCCGATAATTTCAGTCGAAACGCAAATTAATTAACGCCATGATCACGGCGGTGTCCTGTAATCGGATCACGGACGCCGAGAATTATTAGCTGAAATATCGTCGTAATGGCGGCTCCTCGTTCGCTAACCTTTAAAACACGTAAGCTGTTCCCCGTCATGCACGCACAGCGAAGCCTGCTTAATTTTATGCGAGAGGCAAACACAAAGAGATTGCTCGTCGCGCAATAATGAAAATTTCAACGCGCAACCAAGTCAGCGTCGATTCTTTGAAACGCGCTATTTATCACTACCGCGACTCGTCCGTGCGTTTAATTGCGGCTTGTATTTTTGACGTGGTGTACATCAACCTGGTTTTTTGATACCTCGTAATGTCAAAGTTCAAGCCTGCGAGAGAAGCGCGCGAGTCTACCTCGCGAAATTCTTCCGGCTGGCCGACAACTTCCGGACACATTACAAATTCCGATTTGAAACTTCGGAAATCCCAAGTTCCGAACGCGCGGAGAGAGGAGAGAGAAAGAGAGCAGATGTATTATCCGCGATTATAATATAGAATTATAAAATCCCGCATCTCCCTCCCACTCTTCCGCGAGTCGGAGTTCGAACTTTTGAGCGCTTCAGTTATAATGACGTCGGAATTAACAATCTGGCGGGGAAAAACTCGCAAAAATTGGGACGCGTCCGCACCGAACGGTAGCGGTCCCTTCCGCCACCCCGACCCCCCGACGATAAGCGACCGAGGAATATTTTATAAATATCAAAGCGTGTCTCTCGAATTTTACAAACTGCGCGACCGTAAAATGTCGGCAAGGGCGAAATGCGTTCGCGCTTTAAGGGACATCGGTAATCGACGATGCAAAAGATGCGGGATGACGCGCGGCGAATGCCAGACTTTTCAGCGAGAGCGCGCACTACTGAAGATTTAACGACGTTGTCGACGTCTCGGGATTCTGAATCTTCCAGCACCTGATGCGCACCCGCCTAGGCATTACTCCTTCCAGGTCGTGGAGCACGAGCTGTCTTTCTCGCGAGATAAACGAGCCGCGACGATGACTCCGCTAATGCCCGGCGTGTCGTCGGCGTGTTCCACGTGAAGGATGAAGCGCGCGCGGGCGCGGGCACGTGACGCGCGAAAATCCGCGGACGGAGTCACTCTCTCTCGTTGCAAGCGAAAGGGCCGCGGGTCGACTACAGATCGCCTATAAATCTAAAAGCAAACAGCGCGACATCACCGCGGCGAACGGATGTCGCTCTGAGCTGCTCACATCGAAATCCGAAAAAAAAAGAATTGAACACAACTTTAATTCGTTTTTACTTCGATATTAACCCACAAATTTCCATCATACCTTTCTACTTTAGGTATAATCGTCGCAAAAAAAATAATATCGTCCTAACCTAATCGTGATAATCGAAATCCAATAAACGATTAATTAAACGCAATTTTATTATTTTATTCATATTGATAAATCGTTTACATCAGAAAATATTATTTGTATTCTTGTACTTTAATTGACCATTGTGGAAAAGGCAATGTTAGTTTAAATTAATAGATTGAAATCCAGCAAGTGAGTAATTAAGCGCAATTTTATTTTATTTGTTTTGATATAACTCCATAAATTTTCATCGTACCCTTCTACTTTAGTTACGGCCGTGAACAAAATAATATCGACCTAATCTACTTGTGCTAATCGAAATTCAATAAATGATTAATTAAACGCAATTTTATTTCGTTTTATTTGTCTTGATGTTACTAAATCATCTATATATCTCTCTCAGAAAAGATATTATTTACATCATTTTGTTCTTTTTAACTAACCATCGTAAAAAAGATGTAATGTCGTTTTAAATTAGTCGATCGTGATTCAATAAGTGAATAATTAAACTCGATTTTATTTTGTTCTTATTTGTTTTAATGTTGCTCCTGAAATTTCTATCGCGCTCTTCTACTTTAACGAATGTCGCAAAAAAAATAATATCGTCTT